CAAAGTACTATTACTGACCTATAAAGCCCTAAATGGTTTAGCTCCTGTGTATTTAATGGACCTTCTATCGCCCTACAATCCATCGCGTTCTTTAAGATCCCGAAATTCGAGGCTTCTGGTCATTCCTAGGATATCTAAGTCCACTAAAGGAGGGAGGGCGTTCTCACATTTAGCTCCTAAACTCTGGAATAGCCTTCCTGATACTGTTCGTGGCTCAGACTCGCTCTCCCAGTTCAAAACTAGATTAAAGACGCATCTCTTCAGCCAAGCATTCACATAATGCTTACCTTTTATACCACTGTTGAATCAGATCGACTGCATTAATATTATGAACAGCAGCTACGCTAATTATTTCCCATCTGCTTTTCTGCTGTTATCTCGGGACGCTAGTCCCGAGGTAAATAGCGTTCGTCAGCTCCAGTTTGTATCCAGCCTCTCACGGAGACTTCAGACGCTCCAACACCTGCGATGAGATGACTAAACGCCTATGAAGAGACGACTCGACGCCTGTGAAGAGACGACTCAACGCCGGCGATATGTTATGCCCTAAATTAATACATGATGATTAACTAACTATATTATTCTATGTACATTTCTGAAATGTACTTTCTGTAAAGCTGCTTTGAAACAATATGTATTGTGAAAAGCGCTATACAAATAAATTTGAATTGAATTGAATTGAAGTCTGGCTAGACCAGGGGTCGGCAACCCGCGGCTCCGGAGCCGCATGCGGCTCTTTCATCTCTCTGATGCGGCTCCCTGTGGCTTTTGAAAATAATGAATGAGTAATTAATTGATTAAAATTTATTTAATTTTAATTCGTTCGTTTTTAACATTTTCGCACGTATGATCACACACCGGTGTGATCAGTCTTGGCTGGTCCCTGGAGCGTACGCTAGAACGTTCAGTGCATCACGTGATCAACTGCTAAATTCAACCGTGCTGTTGCGAGTTGGCTGGCGCTGAGCCAGAGACAGACGCGCTCAGTGCTGTCATATATCACAACTATTCAGTGTTTTCAACCACATAATGTTTATTTTAGGTTTCAGACATTTAAATACACATAAGTACTAGCAAAAAATATATATTTTGAGTTTGTAAAATACACACTGATGTCTATGGAAGCGGCAATAATGGTCCTTTCCATTATAAAAAGACAACACGTTTTATTCATATCAGATACACATTGTGTAAGTAGCTTTATATTTTACCCTATTCCTCTCCCAGTTCACCGGCCACTTTCACGTATTTCGTGAGAAGTTGAGGAATTGACGTGTTGTAAAATAGCATCGCGCAGCCCATATCGCACAAGACGCACATACAGCTCAACTAACGCGCACGTTATAATACATTGTTTTTTCCTCATAAATGCGAACACGAAAAACAATTTTTTTAAAGATGTGGTAGCATTGCATCTGGACGGGTTAGTGATAATCCGTGTCGTGATTATCTATTGTCTGCTATATTTACTTCTTATTTGTTAAATAGGTAATTAAAAACCTACAGGTAATTGGTCGATGAAACATTTATTAAAATTAAGATACAATTAATACAAAACGAAATTCACTTTAAAGAAAGGCTTTGTGCTTTCTGTTTGAGGTCTTTGTGGAAGTTTTAGTGCCGCTTTCAGAGAACTGTCACATATTTGACAGTCGGAATATAGGTGTTTCTTGTTATAGCTAATACATTAGTGAATATTTTGAATAAAGGAAAAATGACAATGTGGTTGCGCACGTGACAAGCAATGACGCGTCACCATGGAAACATTAAAGTGACAGGTTCTAAATAACGGTCGCCTAGATTAGAAACACTCACAATATTTTAACTTTACGTGTGTGAAAGGTTTAAAATGTAATTCTAAATTTGAAGATTATGGTGATCTTGTAACATCTAATTTGTAACACAAAAAACGTATTAAAATCTTTTGTCGCTCTTAATATGCGTCACAACCGCCAATGTGCGACACCCACCAGCGCGCGATTTTTTGAACTTGTCCAATGGAAAATATTTCATGTCTATGAGCCAACTATGGAGAATTCTAAGAAAAGAAAAGTGTCGGAAGAAAACAGAACGTTCAATGCTACATGGGCTCATTTATATGCTTTCACTGCTGACGAGACTGGTTTACCAGTATGCTTAATATGTACTGAAAAACTAGCAAACAATAAAAAGTCAAATGTCTCAAGACATTTCCAGAATAAACACGCAGCCTTTGCTCAAAAATATCCGGATGGAGATGAGAGAAAAAAAGTAATTTCGGAACTGCTGCGGAAGGTTGATCTGAGCAAAAATCACTTCAAGAAGTGGATGAAGTCTGCAAATTCAAGTACATATGCTAGTTTTGTAGCCGCTCAGGAAATAGTCAGGCACGGTAAGCCGTTCACAGATGGAGAATACTTAAAAGAATCTTTCATTAAGATTTCAGAACATCTATTTACAGACTTTAAAAACAAGAGTGAAATTGTGCAGAAAATCAGGGATATGCCCCTCTCTGCAAAGACTGTCAAAGACAGAACCATAAAAATGGCAGAAGACATCACCAGACAGCAAATTAAAGACATTAATTCAGCTGTGGCATATTCAATTGCCTGCGATGAATCTAAAGACAAAGGTGATATTGAACAAATAGCGCTGTTCTGCCGTTATGTAAACTCTGCTGGGCCACAGGAAGAAATGATTGAGTTGATACCACTAAAAGGCCAAACACGGGGGGAGGACATCTGTGAGGCTGTCTTGAATTGTTTAAGAACCAAAGGAATAAACACCACCCACCTGATGTCAGTGGCTACTGATGGGGCACCAAGTATGGTAGGAACGCATAAGGGCTTTGTGGCTTTACTGCAGAAGTCGCTGGACAGAAAGCTGCTGACTTTTCACTGCATCCTGCACCAAGAGGCACTGTGTGCTCAAACATTTCCTCCGGAATGCACAGAAGTAATGAATGTTGTCATTCAAATTGTCAATAAAATAATGGCAAAAGGTTTAAATCACCGTCAGTTCCGTTCGTTACTGGACGAGATGGAAAGCACATATTCTGATCTCCTGCTGCACAACAAAGTCCGGTGGCTGTCCAGAGGGGAGGTGCTGAAACGCTTTGCCGCGTGTCTGGAAGAAGTGAAAACTTTCCTGGGCAGCAAAGGGCTCACGTTTCCTGAGCTGGAACAGCCAGAGTGGCTGGAAAAGCTACACTTCATGGTAGACATGACAGCGCATTTGAACACGCTGAACACAGCTCTTCAGGGGAAAGGACGCACAGCCCTGCACATGTTGGAGGAGGTTTTGGCATTCGAGCGCAAGTTGACAGTGCTCGCCAGAGATTTACAGAAAGGTACACTATCACACTTCCCCAATTTGAGAGAGTTCAAAGAAGCTCACATGATAAATTCGGAGTATTTACAATCTGCAATCATCGCAATGCAAACATCGTTTGGGAAACGATTCTGTGAGTTCAGAGAGGAAAAAAACACATTATCCTTCCCTGTCACTCCTCTAAGCATCGATCCATCCCTGCTGAATACGACTGCATTGGCAGGTGTGAGTCAACCTGATCTTGAGATGGAACTGGCCGACATAGCCGACAAAGACATATGGGTGTCCAAGTTTAAACGCTTGACAGCAGACCTTGAAGATGTTGCCCGTCAGAAGGCCGTTCTTGCTCAGAATCACAAATGGCGTGATATTGAAAACCTCCCCAAACCTGACAAACTTGTGTTCGAAACTTGGAATGCTATCCCCGACGTTTATGTGAACATGAAAAAGTATGCACTTGGAGTCCTGTCGATCTTTGGATCCACATACGTATGTGAGCAGGTGTTCTCCAACATGAACTATATTAAAAGCAAACATCGCGCACGCCTCACAGATGACAGCTTACGATCCTGCGTAAAGATGAAGGTGACGGCATACAGCCCTGATGTGCAGACGCTGTGCGCTGAGGTTCAGGAGCAGAAATCACATTAACCAAGTATGATAAATATTTTAATTGCCTATTATTTTGTATACCGTATATTCATTTTTTTTTTTATTATTGTTCATTAAAGTAGTCCTTTTATTATTCAGGTTGACAGCTGACTGCACGCGCCAGTAGCTAAAATGATGACGGCACACAGAGAGAGGACGGCATTTTTGGTTTGCTGCCGGTGGATAATTTAAGTTCGGCGTTTTTTCATAAATTTAGTCATTGAGTATTTTAATTTATTTTACTTGAAAGTAACCTTCAAGCCAACGTCTTTTTTTCGGAGTTCAAAATGTTTTTGTTGCATGCAGAAATGTAATTTCGTTTTCTCTGCAGTCATTCATTGATTTAATAAATGCAACACATTATAGTTTGTTTATACATAATAAAGACAATACATAAATAAATAAACTTATATGCAGTGTTATTTCATTGGGTTTTGTGGCTCCCAGCGTTTTCGTTACTGTGGGAAACGGGTCCGAATGGCTCATTGCGTGGTAAAGGTTGCCGACCCCTGGGCTAGACAGACAGAAGCGCGCAGCCAATGCCAGGTGAGGCCACACCCCCTCACCTAAGGGCATATAACATCTGGGCGCGCTGCTATTCCTCAGTAAGTATATTCGCTTCTCGTGCAGCAAGCGGGGCAAAGCTGGTGGATCTCTCCACTCGATGTTTCAGAGAACCGGGGTTACGATAGTAACCTATTGTTCTCTTTCATCATCTCGTGTTCGAGATCCACCTATGGGAGAGACATGGACAGCTCCCCGATTGCCCAATACACTCACAGTGAGGTTCTGAAAGCCAGAGAAAGACGGTCACCTCGGGGAGGCGGTGCCTGACACGTCCATTAATCATGAACCTGCAAAGGTGACGCCACACCGACTGCTGTGGACAAGCAGGACATGAAGCATGCATGAGACACATACATGAAAGTACCCCCAACCCACCAAGGCACATAAACTAAACCCATAACGGGAAGTAAATGTTTGGTGGCAAGAATGAACATGACCAGCCGGCCCATTCACTCTTATTGGTTTCAACAGGGTACAGGGAAGAGCTAAGAAGACCCAACCCCTAAAACCGAATGTGCTACCGAGGTTCTGGTGACATCCAGCCGGTAGTAACGCACAAAGGTATGAGGAGAAGCCCAACTGGCAGCGGAGCAGATGTCCTGCAGTGACACTCCCCTAAACAAAGCCCAAGAGGCGGCTAAGCCCCTTGTGGAATGAGCTCTGATGCCCCTTGGGGGCTGCACTCCCTTTGCTTCATAAGCCATAGTTTTAGCGCCCACAACCCAATGTGAGAGGCGTTGCTTCGATATGGGACTCCCTCTGTGCGGAGGGGCCCATGAAACAAAGAGCTGGTCGCTCTTCCGGAAAGCGCTGGTCCTGGTCATATAAGCCTGTAAAGCACGGACTGGACACAAAGCATTCAGCCTCTGATCCTCCAGAGAGGTAAAAGGTGGAGGGTGAAAAGCGGACAGCTCCAACACCTCCGAAGTGAACGCAGGGAAGCACTTCGGCATGAAGGCCGGGTTAGGCTTAAGGGAAACCTTATCTCCACTGAGGGAGAACTTAGTGCACGAGGGGTGAACCGAGAGTGCATGTAGCTCACTGACACGTTTGGCAGACGCCAAGGCCAAGAGCAAAGCTGTCTTGAAGGACAGCAGCTTAAGGGAAATACTCCCTAGGGGCTCAAAAGGATGTTGAGACAGTGCTTCCAGCACCATGGAGAGGTCCCATTCCGGAACAGTTCTCCTGATGACTGGCAACGAGCGGCGTGCACCCTTCATAAATCTGCGGATTAGAGGGTGCTGCCCGACAGTAGAGCCCTCAAAACCCACATGACAGGCTGAAATCGCAGCCAAATAGACCTTAATGGTGGAAAAAGACCTCCCTTTTTCCATGAGGTCCTGAAGGAAACACAAAATATCAGGAACTGAGCACTGATAAGATGTGAGACCGCGCCCATCGCACCACCCTTCGAACACGTGCCACTTACAGCCATATAAGGACCGTGTAGAGACGGCCCTGGCATTCTGAATAGTGGCGACCACACGCGGCGAAAGCCCAAGTGCGTTCAGGTTCGTCCTCTCACGGGCCAGGCCCAGAGAGCCACCCTGTCCGGGTGGGGGTGGTAGATCTCCCCGTTGGCTTGGGACAATAGATCCGTGCGAACGGGAAGGCGCCACGGCTCGGCGTATAACAGAGGAATTATCTCTGCCAGCCATGGTGCCTTGGGCCACCTGGGTGCTATCAGAATGAGAGACAGGCCCTGCTCTCTCACCCTGGCCAATGAGGGAATTATCAGGCACAGGGGATGAAAAGCATACAGGAGCACTCTGGGCCATGGGTGGACCAGTGCGTCTACCCCGAGGGGCGCGTCCATGTCCCTTAGAGAGAAGAACATAGGACAATGGTAGTTTTCGCGCGAGGCGAATAGATCTACGCTCGCCCGTCCGAATCTCATCCATAGCATTTCCACTATCTGAGGGTGAAGACGCCATTCTCCGTAGATTGGGTTTCCCCTTGATAGCAGATCCGCACCTCTGTTCAGAATGCCCGGAACGTGAGTTGCGCGTAACGACAGGAAAACCCGTCTGCTCCAGAGTGTAAGCTAGAGCGTGGAGTTTCGACGAGCGCATGCCGCCCTGACGGTTGATATAAGCCACAGCCGTGGTATTGTCGCACCGTACTAGAACGTGATGTCCCTGCAGGCGAGGCAGAAAATGATTCAGAGCTTTCCAAATGGTTAAAAGCTCTAAATAGTTTATGTGCGCTGAACGTAGTCTGTTTGGCCACAGACCGTTCACCGTTCTGCCCTCCTGGGTGGCACCCCAGCCTGTCAAGGACGCATCTGTCGTCACAACTTTCCGCATCGTGACCGCCCCCAGAGGGGTTCCCCGTGCGTAAAAGTTCTCTCTCTCCCAGTGGCGCAAGGTCGCCGAGCAGGCGCGTGTCACTGTTACCGAGCGGCAAAGGTCGCGAATCGGGCTGAAATGTAGTGACAAGACCCATTTCATGAACGCCCTCATCCTCAGAAGTCCCAATGGCACAACTTGGGTAGATGAAGCCATGAGACCCTGTAGCCTGAGACATGTGCGATATTGCACTTTCGCCCCTTCTCTGAACTGCGTCAGACAGTTCATCAGAGAGCGAACGCGCTCTTGAGAGAGGCGCGCTCGCATGGAGACCGAATTCAACTCCAAGCCCAAGAAAATGACATTCTGACTGGGCGTGAAATTGCTCTTGCTCACATTCACTTGAAACCCGAGCGATGTGATGTGCGCGAGCACACGGTCGGTGTCCTGCAACACCTTCTCCTTTGATTCGGCTATGATGAGCCAATCGTCTATATAAGTCAGGATTCTCAGACCTGATATTCTCAGAGGTGCTAAGCCCGCCTCCGCGCACAGACAGAAAGATCGGGGACTCAAACTGAGTCCAAACGGAAGAACTGTGAATTCGTAACATATGCCCTGGTAGGCGAAACGAAGAAACTTCCTGTGCGGAGGATAGATGCTTATGTGAAAGAAAGCATCTTTCAGATCGACTGATGTGAACCAGTCGTTCTGTTTTATGGCACGGGCGAGTGCGCCTTGTGTCAGCATTCTGAAATTGTATTTCCTCAAATGTTTGTTCAACACTCGAAGGTCCAAGATAGGGCGGAGAGAGCCGCCTTTTTTCGGGACCAGAAAATAACGGGAATAAAAACCCTGGTTCATCAGATTGGGAGGTACCACCTGAATCGCTCCCTTGTTTAAGAGAGATGAAATTTCCTCTTTCAGAATGTGAGAGGCGTTCTCTTCCGTGTGAGAAAAGAGAATGCCGTTGAAAAGCGGGGGTTTTACTGCGAATTGCAATCTGTAACCCTGCATTACTGTACGCATCACCCACTCGGGAGCTGAAACGGTTCGCCAAGCCGCTTCGTGACTCACGAGAGCTCCCGCTCGGGCCAGAGCGGAGCTGTGTGAGACCGACAGGTTTATTTGTGATGCAATGGCGCCATCTAGTGGGCACACTAGAGGCGACATGCAGGGGTTCGGAGGGATTTCCTCTCTCTGCAGTGAGATTAATTCTCTCTGCGGAGAGAGGTTTTCCCTCCGAAACGAATTCATTTGATTCGTATTTTTTTTGTGTTTTGTGTGTTTTGTGTTGGGCAAACACTGGGGCCGAAGCCTTTATTGAGAGAGTGAGGGGAACAGAGTGTGGGCAGTGTGGTGTCACTGAGCTTAAACTTTCCCTTACAAAGGGCCCCCTGAACGTGGGGGGAAAACACACATTTCTTGAACACACGAGCTGGGCAGTCTTGTTTACACACGGAGAGCTGACCCATCCGCGGGACCCCCTGGGTTTTTTGGACGGGGGTCCTAGAAGAGGAGGGGAGTCCGAAGGGCTTGCGGCCCGTGAACATGGACTCGAGGCCCCCATCGGCTGAACATCAGGCAGGCCGCTTGCGTTTCGAGTCGGTGGGGTTGGAATTCGCAGGTCTCCCGGCCGCGGCCGCGGCGGGAGCGGGCTTACCCCAGTGCTTGTGTGTAGGTGCTGGGTTATGTTGCCGAGGGGGTGGTTTGTTGCGGGGCTTTTCTCTGCCCTGATGAAACTGCCGTCCCGTGGCCGGTGGGTTAGGCAAACGCACAGGGGGCGCCTGGCGTGGGACTGACTTCCTAGGAAGGCAAAGCTTGAAGGCCTCATCCTCCTTTTTCTTATCGTCACACCGTTGTTGCATCAGTGCGACGGCGGGGCCGAAGAGAGCCCGGCCGGGCTCCACCGGCGCGCCCGCGATGCGCCGTTTCTCACTGTCAGGGAGTCCCGACAGGTTCAGCCAGAGCGCGCGCTCTCCGACCACGGAAAGCGCCATGGAGCGCCCGCAAGCTTGGACGGCCTGCCGAGCGTTGCGGAGGACGAGGTCGTTCACCGTTAGGATCTCCTTCCACAGGGTTTCAGAAGGATTTCCCTTTTCCAATTGTTGCCCTAACTCTTCAAGGATCTCCGCCTGGTAGGTGGAGAGGAGCGAAGAAACGTTAAGGGCCCTGACAGCCACGGCCGAGGACTTATAAGCTGCCTGGTGAACGGAGGCAGCAAAACGGTCCATCTTGTTGGGCAAGACCGGCTTGGGGGGAGCGAGCAGCCCGCCCTGAGCGGGGTTAAGGTGCCTGGCGATGGAAGGTTCGACGGTGGGAGGTTCGCCCATACCGTGCGCCGCCATGTCCTTAACCTCGAGTCCCGTGAGACCGTGTTTGAAGTCGAGCGGGTCGCTCCAATAATTTCTCATGTGCTTCGCGCACGCCGGGAGGATGGGGAAGAGTTGTTTCCTCGGGCCGGGAGGGGGTCCCAGCACTTTCCCATCATAAATATCCCTCTCCTGGTCGGTGGCGCACTGCGGTGCCGGCCATTCGATGTTGAGACGAGCGGCCGCTCGCTCACACACTTCCAGGAGGATGGCTTGAGGCAGAACCGCGTGGGCCGTAGCCTGGGGAACACCAGAGGGCGGGATGGCCTCCTCGTCCTCTGAAACCCCAAGAATGGCCGCATCCTCCTCCTCGCCAGAACCGGGCAGGTCGTGGACGAGAGTGAGGTTGTCCCCGAAGATGTCCTCCTCGGGGAAGGCGGGATTGGGCTGGTCAGCCCAGACGAGAGACGTTGCGCCCCGGGAGGCCCCCGGTAGCGCGTCGTCATCACCGTGTCCCCCGTCCGAGTCAGAAGGGCTGAGCCCGGTGCACTGTGTCACTGCCACCTTAAGACGGCGTTTTAGCAGCTTCCTAGGCAGCATGAGGCAGAAACTGCAATTCTCCGGGTTTTCAAGGGCTTCCCGAGCGTGCTTAAGACCCAAACAGACCACGCAAAGCTGATGAAGATCCTTAGCTGCGATGAGGGCACCACACGCGGCCGGGCAGGCCCGTGACATGCTATCCCCTGGAGAGGCTGCAGGCTTAGACAGTGACATACCAGCTAAGAAAACTGAGAAATCCGTGGCGGGCAGCCGTGAGGAGAAACGGTGAAAATAGCGAGAGCGTGGGCGGCTCCGAATGCAAAGTAGCAGTAGTTGAAAAATAAACAACTGTCACGTCCGGCGGAGGCTGATCTGGTCGATATGTCCTCCTGAAGACACGAGGTGAGCAGTGTAAAAATCCAACCGAGCTGTGAGATGCAGAGATCGCGAGAAGCGAATGTCAACTGAGGAATAGCAGCGCGCCCAGATGTTATATGCCCTTAGGTGAGGGGGTGTGGCCTCACCTGGCATTGGCTGCGCGCTTCTGTCTGTCTAGCCAGACTTGGTGCAATTGGATGCTTCTGCAGAGGTCAGGTACGGATACCCTTCCCATAGGTGGATCTCGAACACGAGATGATGAAAGAGAACAAGTTTTTCCTCAGTGAAGTGAACCTAGGACTTTGCATCTACATTTAAGTAAGAAAGCTTCTCTTTTTCGTCTGAAAGGAGCAATATTTTTGATTTAACGAGAAGATGATCGAGTGATTCGCGCATCACCAGAAACCATAACGTCACTTGGATTCTAATGGACCATCGCGGGATTAGCGTCAGAGATTCTCTGTTGGCATTTGTGATTACAGGCACTAACGCATGAAACTGAAAGATGGGACTTTAGTGAACTTTCACAAGCTTTTCGGACGTTTTGAGGATACTATTGGACTTTGGATTATTGAACTTTGCTGCGTCATGGAACAGCCATGTTTGCGTCTCCACTCAGTATCGCAAGAGGGCGATCTCATCTGCTTTTGTGATGAACGCAATGCGCGCTTTGAACACGAACAATGATTACTATGGAGACAGAGGAATTGAACGTGACCTCTAAAAGAGTGCCGAAGATGACTGTTAACCCTCTGAGGACCAGAGTGTTTTTGGGGCCCTTGGGATGTTTTGACATGCACTGACATTTGTGCTTTTTTCGGTTATTTATAAACATGTTAACCCTTTAGGCGCCAGAGGTTTTTTCCTAAAACGTTCGATTTTGACATCTTAATTTCAAAAGGCTATATCTTAAAAGTGAAAAAAGATAGAGACTTTCTGTAAATTAGAGAAATATTAAGGATGACCCAAAGTGTATGTAGGGATTACATTTTCCCATCTAATTTGCATATTATGACGTCATATGGTGGTGGCAATCTTGGATTATAGAATTTTCATGAAAAGTCACGTTTAAATGATAAAATGCAGCACTTCTTTCCCCCCAAAATGTCCATCACCTTCTGTATGCTATATTGCACAATACTGAATGCTCAGGTATATAGTAAGTAGTAAACAAACTGTGTAAATCATTACTAATAAATGGTAGAAACAAACCGAATGCATGTAGTGATTGGCCTTTTGCTGTAGAGATTTTCCATTTGCTAAATACAGTAGGCACTCTGATTCCATGTATGGGGCAAATATATTTTATTCATATGACATACAAACACAAGTAGACAAGACCTGTTTAGTTCAAACGCTCACTCGCACAGATCATGAGTGAGATGGTCTGATCTGCCTCGCGCGCGCGCCGAGTGTGCACAGCTCGGACTGCTGTCATTGTCATTGCGACTCCTCACCCTGCCTCCACGTTGCCTCGTAACTGTCCTATGAATACTTCGACCTCGTCTAACATACCCAGTGGTATTAGACAAAGTCTCCTCCACAATACTGTCGCCGCGATTGCGGAGAGGATCTGATAAAATGGCTTACTCGCACACTAGCTCCGCTTTTGATCGCACTGATTCAATGCGCTCTAACTCGAACATTTTGTATAGAAACATGACGTTTTTTTGATTCGGGGATGAAGTATGACATGTCTGCCATCCAGTGGAGGGGAGGTTGAACGAAATTTGACACCCAATTTGACAAAATCGGCCTTTTTTTTCAGTGCTGCGTCTTGTCGAGTAAACTCGACCGTGGCGCCTAGAGGGTTAATGGCAAAGGTGTAAATTCACTCTATATAGCACAAACTTGGCTACCATGAGATCTGAGCAACATGTATGTACATGTTTGTATTTTTAATAGAATAATGTTTATGCGTGGTTATTGAAAAAAATAAAAATGAAAGTTGCTGAAATAAGACCACAAAACACATATTGATTATTTCTTCACAAGACTTTTGAAAATTGTATCACATAGCCTAGAATATTTGCTCCAAAACTATGTGAGAATCATCCTGACTACTCATTCAGATAAGTCAATAAAGTCTTTTACATTTTTAATGACGTGTTTTGTTTGAGAAAGCTTTATGCAGGAGGCGTGATCTCTCATTAATATGTGTGGCATTCCACACCTGAGAAAGACAAAGACCCTCCCCATAATGACCCTATTAGGTGCTATCAGGCCCTATCATTACAGGAGCCTTGCACAAAGAATGAGGAGATTTAAAAAAGAATGGCTTTTAGATTGTTTGGATTTATATAAGGAAAATACAGGGTGCATACGTCTGGACACTTCTATCACACACCCTTCACCATATAGACATGGTTTTATTTCAGTTCAAAGTTCAAAGTTAGAGTTGGAAACATCTTGAAAAGAAAATTGTCTTTCTCCATAAATGTCTTAGTTTGATCATACATATTTCAAAGTTGAGGATTCATTATTTTGATATAGCTTGAACAAACACTATAACATCTTAGT